ATTCGTCCAAGGGCACCTGGTCTAGAAAGCATCCAAATACGTTTGGAGAGGACTCAAGGGTTGTGTAGTGGAGCGCGGGCCGTGGTCATGGACTCGTGATCACCATGAGACAACCTTTTTTTTTTTTTTTTTTTTTTCCGATGTGGTCCGGCCGCACAGCAAATTCAATTTCACAGGGGTTCGAACACCTGCCATTAACAACTTAGGGGGTACTCACACAGCAAATTCAATTTCACAGAGGCTCGAACACCTGCCATTAACAACTTAGGGGGTACTCACACGATCTCTATCTTCTGCGTACCTAACTTATTTACGCCCTAACGTGGACATATCTGGCCGCAATTACGTCAATAATTAACTACTGAAGTCCTAGTGTGAGCACATGCCCTTATTTTAGCACACAACACCTTTTTGGTTTGTTTCGTGTTCTTCAGATTCAGGGCATACTCACACTCGGACCTGGTATTCAGGACAGGACAGTTATGGGTTGGTTTCCGTGACGAGATGGCGTCCCTTGAGGAAGGTTTAGGGTTCGGTACAACTGCGGTCAGGAGTGGTTCATGAATTTTCACAGACCAGGTATTCATAACGGATCTATAATACGACAGCCCAGCACACACACACACACACACACACACACACACACACACACACACAACCTGCGGGGTTTCGATATGGTGCAACTGATAGGGCCGCGCTCCACTGGACAAATTTCCTACAGGAATATGGAGTTGAAAACGGTCCTGATGCATTCATACCGTGCTACTGCTTTCTAAATGTAAATGGGAGTTGGAAATGGTTCTGAAACTTCTGATGCATTCAAACTGTTTGACCCTTTCAAATGTATCGGGTCAACCACGCTATCCAGACGCATGATGCTTGTATCTGGCCTCAAAGCTGGCCCAAATACAGCAATACGGGGACTCGGGTGATTGTCAAGGGTCCAGTCCAGCCTCCTAATGGGTTGGTGCAAATTTGAGGAAACTATCTTTTTTCATCATCAGCTTTTTTTTTTTTTTTTTTTTTTTTTTCCCCGTTCTCCTTGGTACTTGTACTTTTCTTGCCTCCTAGTTATTGTCTTCTCCCTTCCTTGAACACTTATGTGTTTACCTCCGCTCCCATCTCCCCCCTGCCCTTTCCAGCCTGTCTGTTGCCTCACTGCTTTTGCGTCGCTGCTTTTTCCCTGCCTGTTTGATATGTTCGCTGACTTCTCGTTCCTTGCTGGCTGCCTGATCATTTTGCATGTCGTAGTCACATAGAATGGGAGCATGCGCACGAATCGGGTGAGCATGCCTGCAGTCCCTGGACGTCATGTACCACTGTACTACTGGAGCACATACCAGATTTGCTACAGTCTGTGTGTGTGTGTGCGTGAGAGAGAGAGAGAGAG